TTAATCCTTGAAACAGTCCTAAAAGGTAAAGTTATGATACGCATTTTACCCTGAGGAAATCAAGGCTTAGAAAAATAACTTCTCCAAAAGCTAGTAAGTGGAAGAATGGAATTTCAAACCGAGGTTACTACTTAATCATATTTACCTTTCTCAGAACAAAATAATTCTACTAAAGTAATAAAGTAGAAGTTGAAAGGTTTTCTCTTTCCTGGACTTAAGGCCACTTACAAGGTCAAGAAGGTCATCTGCTTGAAATACAGGTGATCTCAGTCAAAACTGGGGAGCCCTCCATTTGATTTAACCCTCTGTGGGCTCTAAGAACCATCTAAGGCCACCAGAAGACCCCAAGCTTGCTCCAGGAAAACAAAGGAGCCTTTAAAAAGCCAGAACAATGACAACACCAGAGTCCCCCCTGAATTCTAGAACCTGCTGTACAATATGGCAGCCACTCACCAGTGTGCCTATTAAGCACCTGAAATGTGGCTAGTTCAAAATGAGATGTACTGAAGTAAAAAATACACTGTATTTTGAAGACTTAGTACCAAATGAAAAAAAGGAAAATATTGGTTACATGTTAAAATAGTAATATTTTAGATATGTTGGGTTAAATACTGTATTAAAATTAATCTCACATATTTCTTTGTACCTTTTCAGTGTGGCTAAAGGAAGAACATGTAAAATTACATACGTGGCTCCTGTCTCCACTGGGCAGTGCTGTTCCTGATTATACCTGTGCTGCCCTGGAGGCCAGCTCCCTGTGGGCTCGCACCCCATCAATGCTTCTCACGGATTTGCAAAGAAACAGGGGCGGCACTATCGGCACAGAGGAACCCTGGCCAAGTGTAGCTTAAATTCAGAGACCAGAGCTCTGGAACCTTCAGGACTCATCGGTGACTGGATATGGGCCTAACCCTCCACAAAGAACAGTTTCCGAAATGAGAAATGAGGACACCTCCCCGACTTGAAACTTGGGTTGGCATACTCCTGAACCTCGTTACTGCCTCGAAATGTAGTTCTGCCACCAAGGAGTCTTTCAGGGATCTTAGTGCCACTGGGATGAGGCTGACAGAGAGAGACAGTCAGCCAGGGCTTCCGTCCCTAGAGCTAGAGCTGCTCCTCTCCCATTACTGCTGAGCAGAAATGTTCTCAGTGGTCCAACGTAAGAGAATGGGTTTCAAAACTAAACTTATTTCATTCATCAGTCTACATTGTCCCCAGAACACTGGGGTTCCCTTTCCAGGGAGACCTGTCCCTCCCTCTCTCCATCCACCTCCAGCCCCCGCCCACGCTAACCATCACACGTCCATCCCTCTCAAAGCACCATTACAAATGTTTGTTTATGTGCTAGTCAATATGGGCACATTTGAATGCTAGGCTATACTGGAATGTTTTGCTGTCCTGCAGTACAACTCAGTCACTGGAAAAGCAAAGGCACTGAACCTAGGTCAAAAACATCATCTGATTACCGGGTTAGTGGAGAGTGAAGGCTGACGAAACCCTAAATCTGGCTGCATCAGCTGCTAGGGTGTGACAGGAAGTGAGCCAAGTCAGGCATTTGAGAAGAAAGTCATGAGAAGCGGTTGTCATGGCACCAAAGAAGTCTTTGAAGTCTGGAGCCACATCATCAGGTAACTGTGGCCTGACTCCTCCACCCTGTGCCCAAGTGCCCTGCATGTGCTCAATATCCATTCGTCACAGGGAAAGGGGGAGTTGGTTATAGAGCACTCAGGCCCTCTGGGTCCTGGGGTCAGCATATCCTCAGAAATAAAAAACAGCCCCGACAGCAGGAACTGGCCCAGCTCTAGTCAGGCCGTGGCGCTGCTACCAGCTGGCCGGGCCACTACAGTGATGCTGTCGTGTTCTCCTGTTTAACATAAACAATTTCACAGAGCACCATCAGACAAGGCCACTCTGTGACTGTGATGCAGACAAAAACCAGACGACTCGGTAATCACATCTCAATACAGACAAAACATGAACATTGTCCAAACCACACGAAGGACCAGACATCCCCCCTCCCGGCTAATGAGGGGCTGCTGCTGTTTTACCCAGCCCGGCTTTAGCCTCACTCCATTCTCACCTGCTCAGTAAAAATCAGGATAACCATGACAGAATTCTCTCGCTTCCTGACAATGTCCAACTCAGAGCAAGGCCCCGCTTCCTTGAGCCCTCCACCAAAGACATAAGCTCAAACCCTGCAAGTGCTAACACCCTCTGACTGGGACGCCCTGCGGCTCCCCGTGGCATGAAGCACCCTCAGTCAACAGGTCAATAAACCCAACTGTTCAACTGTGTTCCTAGAAGGGTCTTTGGCTACAGGGAACTAACAGCCCTTAGCCATAACATCCCTCCCTGGGTTATGGTTGTCACTGTGCCTGTATCCCTAGGCCTGAGAAGAGGAAAAATGGAAATGAGCGAGCACAGGAGAAAAGTCAGTGGTAGCAGACAGGATGGCTTCTCCACAGGGCACTTTCCCTAGGCTGTGCAATGTACTACCCCTTCCTCCCACTAAAGAAAGCCCATAGAAAACAGAAATGAACATGACAGGATTGCCCATGAGTGTATATACACACACAAAATACACCATTTCACTGACTTCAGTACTTTAACCAAGTATTTGTGACTCGAGATATAAGTAGACACAACAGTTAAGGAACACAATTTACTCAGTCCTACAGCCGCCTGCCATTCGGAGGGAGGCCCGCAACCTGAGAAGTCAGGCCTCCTTTCCAGCCTATGACCTGAACAAGTCACTTAAACTAAGCCTGTTTCTCACTCCGCAAATTAAAAGAATGCCAGAGATAACAGGCCAAAGGCCCAGAACAGCCTGGCACGCAGGACGCAATGACAGCTGGAGTCACCTGATGACCACTTTTCCCACCTCCCGGCCCACCTCTTCCCCCCACCCCTCCCCGTGCTGACAATTCCTCCATGCTTCTCCTCCGTGATGGCGTTCCTATCACCCTGCCGGTCTCACCCAACAGGCTGGAAGCATCTGTCTCACCCCACCCTCCCACTAGCCCCCTAGGAAATGGCACATGACAGGGATTCAGAAAAAGTCTGAGTGAAGAGTATGAGCTATACCTGAAACCAAAATTATTTAGGTTTTATTCACATCCAAGTGATTTTTCCCCTTTGATACTTCCCCAAAGTGTGGCAGTTTAATAGACGTGATAAACCATTCCCGAACACCAGACTTACAGCTTGCCCTCTGCCCCTCAAATTGATCAAGAGCCGGCAAACTTTTTCCACCCAACTTAGCACCCACAGATCACATTTAGTGACAGTTTTATTGAAGAAACTTTAATCAGAATTTACCTCAAGAACGAATGGCTGTATATGTGCCTAAAACATAGCAAGTGTTTTGTTTTCTTCAAGTAAAGAAACACCTCACATCAGCACTTACAGGAACTGCAGTTGGATCACAGGTGCCTATGAAACCCACTGAAAATTTACATGTGATGGAGAGCAGGTGTTTTTCAGAAACCCAGTTTAACTTTGTTGTTTCTCTTGATTCCTGAATTTAATCCATGCCACAAGAGCTTTAAAGAAACATTTCAAACATCAGTTCTCTCAGCTAAGATCTAGTGCCCATTTTGTGCAAAAATTACCTATCATCCAGACGAAAATAGCCTGGAAGAAAAAGGAAGCACTCCTAACAATAGGTTTCCTAACAATGTGTCAGGTAACTATTTTTAAAGAGCACCTTGAGAGTGAAGAAAAAGAGAAGGAAATCAGCAAGAAAAAGCAAGCCTCTTCCATGCTCAGTCCTGATTAACTCTTATTCTGCAGCTTAATTTGGCAGGAATTTAGAATGTCAGCAAGTTTGGCAGCTGTAATCCAAGCTTCAAAACAGAGGGCAAACCCAGTGAAATGACTGTTCCAAGTATTGTGCAGAGTCAGCTTGAGGGAGATTAGGGTTCTCCAGCATAAACACCTTCACCCCAGGATGGATTCCTGCGTCCCTTGTAGAATTAGCACTGAGCTGATCACAGCCTCTCCTTTCCCCGCCTATGAGGCTTTCTGAACAACTCCTGCTCATTAGGCATGCTGGGGCCATTACAGAGTGGGGAGAATAAAGATGAAATTCAGGTCACCCATTTTACTGCTTGTCAGCTTCCATGACTAAAGGTTTGATTAATATAAAACTTGGGAATAATTCGTGACTTTTGTTCAGCTGTGTTATCCTCCACTAATGAAGAAAATTAATGTTTTGTTTGACAAAGGTCTCTAGAATAAAACTGACGTCAAGCGCTCTCAGAAATATGTACCTACTCTTTGGCTCAAGATTTCTTGGGTAAATTCCACCCCTATTCAGAGATCCAATGTAAACGTGGTGAGCAGAGCTGATTCTATTTTACCGCAAAACTGCTGGAAATTCTGTAGGAAAGTCAAAGAATAAAAATGGCACCATACTGTTTTATTTCAACTTTCAAACAATATAAAGAGGTGACAAATTCTGATGCTGAGCCATGCAAGGAATAATAAAGGGATGGACAAAACATTAACAACAAAAAGACAATCGGGTGAGTGTTTCACGTTTCACAGCAGTGCTTTGGCAGTACTGGCAAGCATTTCTGGTCAAGTGCTTCCAACAACAGGGGTATGTGTGAATGAACCCCCTGATCACAGAAGATCCATCCCGTTTTCCCCAATTGTTCACACTCTGAGTCACTACACACCACACTGCTGCACTCACCAGACTTTTGTAAACCTCATCTTACAATATGTAACTAGGTATTGTGCGTGTTCACAACAAAAACTAAAAACCAGAGTGTGGAAGAAAAGTAAACCCTAATGTTTCCAGTAAGGCATCCGGGGATCAGCTGGCTGGGCCCTTCACTTTACCAGTTTAAAGAAATGATCCAACTTACATTATTTAGCAAACTCAATATTCAGAAGCTTAACCAGCAGGCTCAAATTAAAAGTTTAAAGGACAGACCCCCTTCTCTCTTTTTTTTTTTTTTGGTAAATGTTTCATATAAAACATGAAATCAAGTTCTACTTTATAAAAAAAACTGAGTAATTTTAATAGTAAAAATATATATGTTCATATTTCTCTTTTTAAAAAAGACATCGAGTAACAACACTTCAGAAGACTGGATTTAACTCCCCAACCCCCAACCCTGCCAGCTGCCCCCTGGCACAGATACATTAAGGCACAGGCTCCTGGAGTGGCATGTCCACCTCGGCTGTGGGCTGGGGACTCAAGGTGAACACACTCCACTCCTGTAGGGTCAACAGAAATGCTTCTTCTCCCTTATGTTCACTGAGCCGTCCTGCATCCCGAAGTAGACTCTCTCGGCCATGTTGATGAACAGACCTGTGTCCACCACACCTGTAGGACAAAGGACAGAAGGAAGCATTAAGTTCCAGCTTCCCAAGGCAAGAAAAGAAACAAGGACCACAGGGCCGGTAGAATCATAGGAGCAACTACCATTAGCAACACTGGACAAATGAAAAGAGATTATTTTTATTTCTTCTTACAATTCACTTCTCCCCTGCCATCTTGGCTTTCCTTCTATGCCCATATGTGCCAAACTTTCTCCTGCCTCAGGGCGTTTGCTTATGCTACTCCTGTTGTCTGGACGAGTCACCTTTGAGAGCTTCAAGGGGCTGGTTCTTTTCTGTCCTTCAGATAGCAGATGGCAAGTCATCTTTGCAGAAAGGTCCTCCATGACTACTCTAAGTAAGGCCCACTCCCAGTTATTCTCAATCACACTGTCAGCCTTAGAAGTTTTCCCCACTGAGCCCAAGAAGATATTTGCAACGCATATACCCAACAAAGGACTCCACATCAAAATATATAAACAACTCTCTAAGTCAGTAAGACAGAAAACCTACTAGAAAAATGGGCAAAAGACTTAGAAGGCTATCCAGAAGACGCTACCCAAAAATGGTCAATAAACCTAAAAAATGGTGCTCAACTAGTCAAAAGGGAATGCCAATGAAAACTACGAGACTCTGTACACACTCAGCAGAAAGAGGATTATGACATTTGATGAGGATGAAAGGACACTCCTACATGTTGACAGTGGGAGTAAACTGGCAAAACCACTTCGGAAAACGCTTGTTAATACATATTCTAACACCAAACATACTCATCCTTAATGATTCAGCAATTCTACGCTAAGTATATACAAGCAATGTCAGGCATATGTCATCAAAAGTCATGAATAAGAATGTTTTCCTAATAGCTAAAAACTGGAAAAAGCCAAATACCCGTCAAAAGTAGAATGGACATACAAACTTTTTTCCACATACAGAAACCGGATGGAATACTATTCACAATGAGAATTAACAACTGCAAGCAACCTTTACTGAAAATATTTACATATCCAGTTAACCCTTAAATAACTTGGGGTTTTGGGCACTGACCTCCCTCACAGTTGAAAACGGCACATAAGGACAGCCGGCCCTCCGCAAACACAGATTACCAACTCCGGAGTTGACCCTTGAGCAGCACAGGTTTAAACTGCACAGGCCAATTGAAAAATCTGTATAAGTGGACCCGCGCGGTTCAAACCCTGTGTTGTTCAAGGGTCAATTGTATACACACATACTACAGTGAGATAATGCTGTTTTACCATCAGAAAAAAGCTTGATGGACTCTGTGTAGGGAAAGCGGCACCTGCACACGTAACTGGTAGACAGGTAAACTGGTACAATCCACGGAGGGCAACTTAACACCATCGGGCAACATCAGATACACTTATCCTCTGGTCACTCCCTTCTAGCAAAGGACTGCAAACAAACATCCACTGGTGGGGAGTTGGTTAAATGCATTATGTGATAGCCATAAAATGGAATGCCATACAGTTATCTTGAAAAGGAGGAGGAGGAAGCTCTTTTGTGAACCATTATGCAATTGTCTCCAAGGCAGGAAAAACTAGAAAGCAAAGCATATATCTAGTGTGCTGCCTCTTGCATAGAAAGGGCTGGAGTCAGGAGAGAGTAGATCTGTTTACGAAAGACAAACTCAAGGACACACAATTGGTAACACTGGCTGCCTCCAGGCAAAATTGGAGGGGTGGAAGGAAGAGACTTCACTGTTAACTCTTGTAATATTAAACTACATAAATCCAAAAGGATAAATACTTCCAAAGATGGGCCCCAATACATAAACAAACAAAAAAATCATTTATTGTCAATGAAAAGCCATCTGGTAGAGGGAATTGTGCTGAAACAAAGGTCCCTTGCACCAAACTGTGCCAACATGACTACAGCCTCCCAAAGATAAGTGGCCACTCAAGACCCATCCTTTTCAAAAATTCTGTTAAGATGACAACTTCCACCTGATCTGATAAAGTCAAACCAGGTTCAGAAAAGGTTCCAAAGAAAGAGCAGAGATGAATGGCAGCCGTCTAAGGTCTGATCTGAGCGCAACCTCTCCTCAGGCTACTGAGATGGAGGGAGTGACTGGCCCCCCACCCCCACTCCCCTAAAATAGTGGAAAGGAAAGGACAGAGGTGGCTCAATGTGAATATGGGGGAAAGAACCCCAACAGCTTTGACCCTTCTATAGCCTGTCTGCTCTGGGCGCAACCCAATGACACGCCCAAGGAAGTGCGCCAGTTCAGCTGTCCTCTTCCTGTGCTCACATACAGGAACGCACGTGGGACAAGGCAGGGTGACAGGGACAAATAGGGAAACTTGCCCTGCTTCTCCTCCCTTAATCTCGGTCCAGCAGCAATGGCCAAATCGGGAGGAGAAAAAAGAAACCTCACCGGTGATCCTGAGGGCACTCTACTAGATGATTTAATACCTAGCCTCTCTTTTTGCATTTTCCTCACTTTAAGTTCTTGATAAAACTCTGAACTTCTCTAGGATGTAACTTGTATTTACTGAGGTGGAGAACAAAGCATGGAAGACATTTTCTCACGAAGGACAGCTCAATGACTCAATAAGCTAAAAAAGGTCTGAGCAGGAGCAACAGAGCTACCTAGTGGGCACTGCGAGAAATGCACCTACGGAGGAACAGTGCCAATGCCGGGGAGCTCTTTCCTCCCGTGGGTTCTGCATTATCATTAAGGCAGATCCCCCAACGTGATTAACAGTGACCCGCGTCTTCTCTTCCTCCTGTCTCTGTGGCTCTTTAGCGCTTCCACTAAAAAGATAACACTAAGTAAAAGAATAAGCACAATTCAACTTATCTTTTTGATTTAAGAAATCTGGTACAAGATTGTCAATGGAAGGCTAAAATGGCAAACTAAAGTAGGGTTAGAAGAATTAGATCTATCACACAGCATATATTCATACCAAATTCATTCCCAAACAGCATGGGTAACTTAGAATCTAACATATTTAATCAATGGTGAAGATAGTATCCTTTCTTCCTAGGGATCTATTCATTCAACAAACACTCCCTTGTGTGCTGGGCACCACCATTTTAACTCATTTAATCCTCCCAAAAATCCTATGAGGTAGGTACTATTGTAGAATTAGCCTCTTTTACAGAGGAAGAAACTGAGGCACAGAGCTAGTAACTAACTGCACAAAGGTCACACTTATAGAGCAAAGCTGGGTTAGGATCTTGACTCATGCGGTCGTCTCCAGGACCCACCCTTAGCCACTACAATCTGCTAGCCTGACCTTATCTGCCCCATTAGCCAGTTCTGGCCCAAGAATAATTCATGTCATAGAATACTGCCATTTAGAACCTTAGTCTCTCAACAGCATAAAACGTATGTTTCTCACCTCTCCCGCCTCCTTTTAATCCCCTTATGAGCCCTTAATGCCTCCTCTGGCCTGGACTCTTAACTCACCTCTACACTGCCCACCCAGCCTTCACCCAGGGCCCCAGGGCTGCACTGGAGGCTCTCCGCGGCTCCAAATGTTCATGTCACACAACCTCTCTTCAACCTGGATCTCGAAGAAGTAAGGACAAAAAGCTCAGGGTCTGGAGGCAACCTAGGGCTCCCATCTTAGTGCTGCGGCCCTTGAGCAAATCCTCTAACCTTCCTCAATCTGTGTCCTCTCTATAACTGTAGACTCAAACTGAGGACTCAAATGAGACATTTTTGAACACGTAGTGCAGGATCTAGATTGCACCATGCTGAGGCATAGATCCAAAGCCACCTCTCTTCCACGGAGCTGCCCTCACACTCCCCCAAAGGAGAGCCGTACACTCTAGACCGCTGGTACTCCTCTAGTAGAATTGGGCACATCCCTTCTCACTTGTCGGCATGGCTTCCACACAGCCTTCCCCAGGTTTACACCAACTCTCCCCGAGGACTGTCCTCGTTCTCTAGATGGAGCATCCCGTGACACGCGGCACAGTATCTTGCCTGTGGTCTGGATCTAATTAATGTGAGTAAACTGAGTCCCTTTCCCCTACTGCCTAAGGAAGGCTCCTGGAAGGAGAGGCTCTATGCACAGGGTGAACACCACCCACACTACCTGGGATCATTTTGATAGCTGTGTTCACTTCACTCCATGTGTGCACGCGGTCAAACTTCCAGTCCAGGATAAAATTCCCGTTATCTGTCACCACAGGACCCTAGAAGACAATTTTCCATATTTACCGAGGAAGTAGGTACAGGTAGGTAGAGAGGGGCAGGAAAGTGGAGGTGGTAACTGAAGACCGGTACTCTAATTACTCCCGCCTCCGGCTTTCTAGAAGGCAGGGCTGTGAAGCAGTGATGAGCAAGAGCTCTGGGGTCAGGGTCTGAGTCCTGCTGCCGCAGAAGTATAGATCCCAGAGGAGCCATCAACTTCTGTGAGCCTCAGATTCCTCGAGTGCAGAAAGGGGATAATAATACGTATACATACTTATAAGGCAGCTTATGTATAAACCATACGGGTAAGTATTTATTACAGTGAGAGATCAACAATTCTTAGCTATCATTAGACTGAAAACCTACAGCAGAACAGGCTATCAACATGGCACAATATTCTCACAGCTTCACATTAAGTGCCATCAATAATGTAAAATAAACCAATGCCATTTCACCCATCCATCAGGTAGTCCCGTCAAAAAGACAGGAAGCAGAGACGGGTTCTGAGGTCAAACAGGCAGTGGGTAGTTTTAGTTAATTAATGCAGAATTCCTTAACAGCTTTGGGCACTAGAAAGCATCTGGGATGCAAATACTGACAAAACGCTCCAGTCAAAGACCAGGAAACCAGGAGTCCCCTGCAGACTGGGGGAGAAGGGGAGGGGGCTCAGTCAGAGCCCCATGAAGGGTGTGTGTGGAGCAACCCCAGCTATGACAGAACCTCCACGCACCCCCAGCGTCAGAGCTCTGCCCAACCATGGTTTTAAAAAGTCGCAAAACACCGGAAGAAAACACATCAAAATAAAAACGTACCCAGGACGAGTTCTTTTCTATTATTTCCCAAGCTTTTTATATAGTTATAACTAAAGTTACTGTTTAGATTATTACTTTTGCTTATTTATTTTGGGGTAAGAAAAATAAAAGTTCTGTGTGACCCACTTTAGAAGCTGAAGAGAAACATTTGGATTAAGTGTCTGGAGTATATTCCTGAGGGGTTCACATCCCCTAAGAAATTCTATTATACTTCCTCTCACACTTAACCACAGAATGAGAAAAGAGGAGGAAAGAAGAAAATTATACCATGAAACCTGAAAAACTTTCTGCCGCAGGGAGTTCAGCAGGTGTTAATCAGAGTGGCCCTGGCTTCAGGTACAAAGGTTAGATCACCTGAGGAGCATCAGGCCCCAAGGAGCAGAGAGGAAGACTCCCTCCCCTATTTGTACCGAGGATATACACTGCATCAAGTACAGTCTTATCTACACGAGTTTGAATACAGAAATAAACCCAGAGCTCTAGAAAGAATTTAAAATAAATTTAAAATAAATACATAAAGCCAACTGCCTGGTCTAGGCACAGAGAACCTAACAAACGGAAAGAACACCACGTTGAGAACCGCTCTAGAGAGCGTTTAGGACCCCAAGTGTTGACACAATACTGAGAATGTGGAATGCCCTCCAGAAACCTCCCCAGCCACTTACTGCCTTGTTGACAGCCATTCGAAGGTCAATCATGCCCCCAAACTTCTGAGTCACGGCTCGGCTCACTGGGACATAAGCCATTGGGATGACCTCAATGGGGATTCCCTTGTGCCAATGATCCCCAAGGTTCTCTGAATCTTTCCTGGAAAGAGTCAAAAAACATAATAAATGTATATAAGCTCAGTGGCACAGATGAACACCAAATTGAGGAATCACATGGTAAAAGGGCAAAGGAAACAAGCATGGATAAGCATACACAGGCTTTACATGTACTGGCTATGTTGTACTATTTAAGAAAAAAGTATTTGAAGTAAATATGACAAAAATGTTAAAACTGGATATGACTAGCTTTGTGGGTAAACAGGTATTTATTATTCATGTTCTTACTATAGCTGTATTGCACAAGTAAATACGGTTTTTCTTTTTAATGGCCATGCTCAGCACAAGAGCCTTCTGGCAGACTCCTTGAAGGAGAATCTGAGAGCCTGGTCAGAAGCTGTTCACAACATAAGTCACACGTGACCCCAGAGGAAGCAGGATATGCTGAGTCACTGCCCATGGGCAGGGCTTGCACAAGAGATACAAGCTGTTCTCTCCTTGTTCCAATGGACGCAAAATAGCAGTATCTGCCTTCAGCATGGAAGCAGGACAGAAACCGTCCTCGAGACTGCCCTAAGTCCTAGCCACGAGTCTCAGAAAATTAGACAGCCCCTCCACTTCTCTATCTCCTCCTCTATAAAACGGGGATGAGGCCTGGGGTCCGATCTGCCTCGCTGGTGGACAGTTTAGAACACTGCACATACGCAGTACCTGAAATCTGCAATCACAATGAAGCTACTTGCATAGCCAGCCACAATCTTCTCCTGGGTCAGGCAGCCTCTGGGGATGGAAGAAGAAAATGAACACAGACAAACACTCCATTTGGGAACTAAGGTCAGATACTGAAACCCAAATCCACTCAATTCTGGCACTTAAAGAAAACCTTACTTTTTAATTCCTTAGGGATACACCCAACCCCATCTTGCTGTGCAATGAATTGAATTGCGTCCCACCACAATTCTAAGGCTGCTGCCCTAACCCCCAGTGTGCCTGTATTTGGAGATGGGGCCTCTAAGGAAGTAATTATGGTTAAATGAGGTTATAAGGGTGGGGCCCCAGTCTGACAGGATTAAAGTGCTTATGACAAGAGACACCAGAGAGCTTGCTTACTCTCTCTCCATCATGTAAGGACACAGTGAAAAGGCAGCCATCTTCAGGCACAGAGCCTCCAGAAAGGGGAGAAATATCTGTTGTTGAAGCCTCCTGGTCTATGGTATTTTGTGATGGCAGCCCGTGCTAAGACATGCTGATTCTAATAAGCGGACCATGGAAACATTAGCCTGTGTCTGGGAGAAACCTAGAAACAGAGCTACAGTTCCTGGTGAGGCCAGGCAGACTGCAATCTAAGATGCATCTGCGAGGAAGCCAGAGAGAAGTCATCTGCATGGTGTGAATGGGAGGGTCTATAACTTGAGAAGTAAGGACAAGATCTGAACAGCCTGGGCTATCAGCTACTTGACAAGTCAGGGTGATGAAGGACAGCACAATGAGCCTTTAAACAAATTTTGTGTCATTTCAGAGGCTGCTTGACTGTAAGAACCTTCTTCAATTCACCTTTCCCTACCCCCAAAATCAACACTTAAGAAACACCCAATAAATGTTTTCTAAATGAATGAATACATCACTAATTGCTCACAGAGGTAAGAGCAGCTTTAAAGCAAAGGTCACTGGTGCCCACAGACCTAATAATCTAGCCCCAATAATCTGTTTGGTTTAGCCTGCACAGTTTTAAAGCTTGAATCAGCAGAATGCAGACACACAGAACCCACTAAAATGAGCAATCTCACTGAAGAGGCCCAGGTTCCTAGTCACCAGATTGCAACTAATGACCAGAAATGCCAATTTGCTCTACAGACATAGCTATCAATGTTCTAGTAGAAGGACAAACTCGGGTACATCACAGTGGCAATTTGTTTATTCCATAATCCATTTTGCTTTGCTAAGGATTAACTGGCAGATACTCCCTTTAGCAAGAAAGTCTCCACAACACTCACCCACCGCCCTTGATGAGATTGAGGTCAGCATCAACTTCATCAGCACCATCGATGGCAAGATCAATCTACATTGGGGGGAAGGAAAGATACAAAACCACTAAGAGCCTTTGGAGGGGAGGCTCTGTGCAAAGCCTGAACATGCAATAGCTCACCAGATCCTCAGCAGCCCAATTAGCTAGGCAGTTACTCGCCTTTAACCAATCAAGAAACTGAGGCTCTGAGAGGTTAAACTATTCCACTAGTCACCGGGAAACAAACATGAGACCTGGGAACCACACCTGGGTCCAGCTCTTACACTCCCTTTTCTCACTGACAGGCTTCTCTGTGGACAAGCTGGAATTATTGAGATCATGCAATCTCAATGTGGGTGACATCACCAAGTACAAAAACAGATATACAGTATACCTGTGGTATTAAATTTTCGTGCGAGGAGGGACAGGAGGTAATGGGAAAAAAAGGTTAAGAAACCCTGATTCTGAAGCCTCCGTGCTCATGTGGCAAAAGCAGGCAATTATGAGTGGACACAGAAGAACCCATGAAGAGTTATACATTTGACACACATTTGATGTGATCCGAAATTGGAAATTATCTGAGGTACCCCTACTATGATCCCACCAAAGCACCTATCTGGGCGTGCTCACTCTATTAGGAAGCTCCACCGTCAATCCCAAAAGTGGTCAAAGGGCAAATCAGTTCATTCATCTTTCAAAATTCAAAATCAAGGAAGCTATCGATGTATTTTTCATCTCTCCTGGTACTCTGCATGGACAAGTGGGAGCTTCAAGTATGGATTTTTAAAATAGCAGTACAGAAAACCTCTGGTGCAAATTCAGTTCAAGTTGCAGATAGAAGTTGCCTGGCATGGCTGGTGTGGGCACCCTTGCTTCCTTTTACAGATCTGCCCTTTACCTGAAGTTATAGCCTGGATTGCTCCTCGACCCTGCACTAACCCCATGGCCAGGCTTCACCTTGGCAACTCTCCAGGGCCTGGAAGGTGGCAACCCTTCCTGTCGGGATGGCAGGCCCACCTTCAGCTCAAACCACTCCCCTAACAGCACCAAATAGCTGGTTCAACCTGTGTCCTGGCTCTGCCCAAAGAATTCTCCCAATGAGCCTTTCCCGTGGTTCTTACTAACCCCTCTGAGGCCCGCGTGGACCATAATGACTAGGTTACTAGACCACTATCAAGCCCCAACCACCAGCCTGGTTTTGCAGCTGCTATAACCCCACCCCACTCTTCCAATCCAGCTTTGCCGTCTCCCCTATATCCCACAGCGCCAACGCATTCCACTATCCAGTCATAATCCCCCGAGCCAGTCTAGGTACTGTCCACATAGATCCCTGTGCCTGCCCGGACCTGCTCCTGTGGTCCCCATCTACCCCTCTCTGGAATGTTCTCTCCTGCCCTGACCACCTAGCCTTCACAGCTCTGCTCCAAGTTGACCTCTTCCCATGAAATCCTTCCAAGTGGCGTCGCTCTAGAGCTAGAAGCACCCTGATTCGTACCGAGGCTCTGCCACTTACAAAAAGCATGGCCTTAGGCAAGTGGCTTGCCCTCTGTGTGCCTTTTTCACATCTGTAAAACGGGACAATGGTCCCCACCCTAACGCGACTGGGGATTAAAGTTGATCAGAGGCACTGCTCAAAGCACAACACCTGGGATATAGTCAGGACTCAGTAAATGCTAGCTATGAGTGCGCTCCTCACCCTCATCAACTTCACTCTCCTCTGGATGCCTATGTGTTTAACCGTCTTTACCACCAAATTTCATGTTAATCCGTCTTCAAATGTCCACAGCTGCCTCAGATGGTGGCTGCTTCTCCCCACTTGGTGGTAAGCTCCGGGGGCTCACTCTCGTTCCTCTATCCAAGGACCAACAGAAGCCCTGGGGAAAGCCCTGGGCTCATCCAATCCCCCTTCACTACACTCACTTTGAGCCCAGATGGTTAAACCACAGGGAACACACTGGAAACCAACCACCTCTCCACTTCTGACTTCAGCCAGGATTCATACTCACAGTCTCGGGAGAAAAGCTAGTATGACTAACTGACCTTTCTCCTAGACCTGACAAGCTATCCAGAGCCCCTGCACAACTGAAAGCCTTCATACAGGAGAAAGACAGAGCGGCTGGACTCTCTTACCTGTGGGTGTTGGTCCAGGTCACTGAGCGTTAAGCCGTGCTGCAGGATGAGCTGACGGGCCTAAGGAGACAGGAAAAAGCACCCACAATCATTTACCCTGAGCACTGGCAAGGATCTTCAGACTTCTCTTGCATTTAAGTGTCACACTGAGTCCTGAGCAAGGCTCCCTCCTAAATCCCAACCTGGCTCACTAAGAGGCAGGAGATCGAGCCCCGTGAAAGGCAAAAGGTAAGTCATCCTGGGAGCCAGAAGGCGGCAGACAGCACACAGTGATTCTCGGTTCCTGTGCTCATAAGCGCTCCTATCCAGTGACTCGCTCTTTAATGCCACGGCCTCCTAAAGCTCTGGTCATACAGTGTTTTAAAAACTCCCCAAAATAAGAACCAAATCTATAATTAGAAAAGTATTTTAAAACAACCCAACAGTGTGAAAGAAGACTGAGGAAAATCACTATAAATTGATATGGAGTGATTTCCAGGCTATACTACTATCGAGCAAAAATAAGTAGAAGAATATATAAATTCAGAAGAGTATATAAAGGCAGGACTTCTGGAATGGCTAAGTGAGGAACTTAGAAAATTGAGAGCACCAGACTGGGGAAAAAGTCAGCACGATTGCCTTTATAGACATGCCTCATGGTTAGCCTTTCAAACAGGGTGACCAAAGGGGAGAGCAGGGGTTCCGACCACCACGTGGCCCAGAGCAGGATTCAGAGCTGGAATAAATGCACCATGAACCTTCACCACCCAGTACAAGTCACGAGGATTTATGTTCATTTCACTGTTTATAAGATGCAGAGGAACCAAAGGATGGAAACTTTTTTTCAAAGGCATGTCTTGAAAATACATTCTGATTGCAGTGAAAAGCTCCTGAGATTAAGAATCAGAAGGTCTGGGCTCTAATCTTAAATGAACCAGCCATGTGACTCCTGGCAAGTTTTCTCATCTACAAAAAAAATGGGGATGGATGACATGAGCAATGTAAATCTTCAAATCCAAAATCCTAAAACGCAAAGAATAAAATACAAAGACCTTGGAATCTGTAATATATGGTCTTTATTTGGGTCCTGATTCAAACAAACTGTAAAATATATTTTTAAGGATAAGACAAGAGGGGAATTTGAACCCTAGATTTGTACTTGACGCTATTAAAAGATTACTGTTATTCTCTTAATATTGTTGAGATGTTTAAAAGTTGCCTATTTCCCAGAGAGACATAATGAAATACATACAATGAAATTGTTCTATGACTGGGATTTGTTTCAAAATAACCAAGGTAGAGGCAAATGGGGTACAGATGAAACAAAATTGGCCATGAAATGGTAATTGTTGAAACTGGGTGAGGGTACACAGAAGTTCATTATGTTGTTCTTCATCTTTTTTGAAGTTTGAAATTTTCCATAATAAAAGAATTATTTCGGGCCAGCCAAGTGGCGCGTTGGGTAACAGTTGGCTTGGGACAACAGCTCTGAGCAGCAGAGCCCTGGTTTGGAACCCACATTAGGGCCAGTGACACTGCCCTCTATAGCTAAGTTGGTGAACAACAGCTCAACCTGGAGCTGAGCTGCCGTGAGACGCCGGCGATGGTGTAGGCTGCAGTGGAGCTGCAGTGGGCTGCCGTGAGCTACCATGAGTGACCGGCAGCCGGCGTGAGTGGCCAGCAGCTGCCAAGAGCCGCCGTGAGCGGCCATCCAGTAGCCGGCGACTGATCTGCCTCACCCGGGAAGAGCACAATGATAATACCAACATGAGCCAGTGAGCAACGTCCTCCACAACTAGACTGAAGAACAAAAGGACAGCAACTTGTCTGTTCCCTTTCCCCCAATTCCCCAATAAAATCTTAAAAAAAAAAAATTATTTTGAAGTCCCAAGATTTCTCCAAAAGTGGTACTGGGGAAACCACCCTAATTCCAGAACTAGAGGCTATAGAAACACTGGGAAGATCTGGAAGCAGCCGCCACGATGACCCCCTCCCTCCCGGTATTCACGCCTTTGGGTAATCCCTGCCCACAAAGTCCCAGTGTGACCAACGGCACACAGCAGCGGAGATGGCAGGACACTTGAGATGAGTTTACATCGAATGCCGCTGGGGTAAGGAGTGGGGCATGCTCAAGCATCCTTTCCTCTATTATCACACTCTGGGGGAAACTAACTGCTTTGTCCTGAACACACTGAGATAGCCCTGGGCACAGGCCCTCTATCCATGAGGAACTGAGGCCTGCAAACACCACATGGCTGAGCTCGGAAGCAGATCCTTCCACCGTGTTGAGTCTGAAATGACTGCAGCCCCAGCCAACAGCTTAACTGCAACCACAGGAGAGATCCAAAGCCAGAAACACCCAACTAAAGCACTCCAGGTTCCTGACTCTTGGAAAGTATGAAATAATAAGTGTTTGTTGTTTGAAACTTGTTCCACAGCAACAAATAGCTAATACAGATGGTGTTAGAAAAATAATAAGAACTGCATATAGTTTACTGTGATATTCTGTCATGCAAATAAAAATGGGTGATGTACTATGAGTTCCTATTATTGTAATTTTATATACTTTAGAAACAGTACTAAACTACTGAAATGTTACATGAAAAGTGGATATCAGGAAACTGTTCCATCATGATTCCTATGGAAAAAGTCCTATGCAAATATACCATTTAAATCGAACACTTCTTAAGCTCAAAGCACCACTTGACAGTGCTTTTTAATGAGGATGTCCTACTGTCCACCTGGGCTGACAGCAGAGTATGAGAGAGCACATTTTCATATTCTTGTTACCCCCCCAGAGCCCCGACACACACAGAAAAGTCATCCTCACAAATGGCAGGAGTTTCACCCTTTCTGAGTGTTAGGGGTTGAACTGTGTTCCCCTAAAAAGTGTTGAAGTTCTAACCCCCAGGACCTCAGCCTGTGACCTTATTTGAAGGTAGTCTTTACAGAGGTAATCAGTTAAAATGAAATCATTAGGGTGAACCCTAATCCGATGACTGATGTCCTTGTAAGGGGAAATGTGGACACAGAGACAGACGCACACAGGAGAGGGCCATGTGAACACCAAGGCAGAAATGAGGGTGATGCGCCTACAAGCCAAGCAACACCAGAGACAGCCAGCAACCCACCCAAAGCTAGGAGACAGGTACAGACCGCGTTCTCCCTCACAGCCTCCAAAGGAACCAACCCTGCCAAGTCCTTGAGCTCGGACTACGAGCCTCTAGAACTGGGAGACAATCAACTTCGCCACTCAGTTTGTGGTTCCTTCTTTGGGCAGCCCCAGGAAACTAACACACTGAATTCAACACAACAGCCTTTCCATGAGGATATCAACCCATCACTGGCTCAGTCAGCATGAATGGAGCTCAAGTGCTGGACTGAGATCGGCATCTACTGGACACCAGGCACTCCAAGCTCACAAGCTAAGGGGTCTGCTGAGGGTGTACAGCAAACACCGCGTCTGTCTCTTCCAGCTCTCGAAAGGAAGTGCAGGGAGCAGAGAAGCTAATGATTAGTGTGTGCTTGTGAAAAAGACAGGGAGCAACGCCTTCTTACTGCATTCCCACAGCTGGTGCCCCCAAACGCCTCCTGTGATTAAGGACAGTTGCATGTGTCGGACTGGCAGTCCTGTTTTTCATAAATTTCACAATAAAATCTGTAAAAAATCTCCCCTTCTACCACCTCAAGGCCAGTGCGAACAATTAACAATCGTTTGGGCCTTAGACCACCTCTGACTTTCAGATTTTTTTTCCCTCTTCCACAAGCCTAACTTTAAAGGGAAAATCTATACAAATACTTTTAAATCCCTATAGGTTTACTTGTTTAAAATGTAGAGCACGAAATAGTTTGATTTCCTTTCAACTATTCAGGAGATTGAATCTGGCTAAACTTAACACAAAATAAGTTTGGATTTGAGGGGGGAAGGAAACAAAAAAGTAACTGAACAAGTGAATGTTTAAAAGCCCTGTGAACTGTGGACTCCTCCACCTAATTAACTGGAGTCAGTCAGCACTTTCCAGTCTGGGAACACTGTTATTAATTACCACCACAAACCATAGGTGGGTTAACAAGATAATGCTATCTTAAAACCACAGGGTCAAATTTCCAATTATAAATAGCAATACAAACACCTGTATTTAGCTCAGCTTTTCCCCCAAACCTCTCTAAAAAAATAAAGGAATTCTTCTTAAAGGCATAAACCAGAAAAAGGAGAAAACAGCAACAAGCTTTTAAAAGCTGGACCACGGATGCACAACGGTAAATGGCAGAAATGAGAAAATGGTCCTAAGCCAGTATTGGAAAAAGCCAAGAAGCACCCAGAGAAACAGCAGAGAGCCTCCCAAAAGGTTCAGGGCTCAAAGGCATTGTAAACTTCAGGATGTGGACATGATGGTAGGAGTAAAAAACGAAAAACTGGTTGAAAGGCTATTTAAGAACTTGTTATACCTCCATATCCTTCTCTACTACTCCCAAAGCAAAGAATAAAACATGGGCTGGACTGCCTGGCACAGCTAAAGACGGGGAATACTCCAGATGCAAGCTTTTGCTGTGCAGCAGCTACTCAAAAACTCAGTAGCTTAAAAGAGCAAATGTTTATTTATTCTCGTGCTTCCCTGGACTGACTGGAAGTTTCTGGTCTGCGCTGGGTGGTGTATGATGGCCCCCACGCACATGCCTGGGCCCGCTCAGCCACTCACCAGGCTTGTTCACATGGTGGCAGAATGGTTTCAGCAGCGGGAGGGGCCAAGCCCCAGTGCAGAAGCACTTTTTAAGCCTCTGCTGGCATACCATTTAGTCACATTCCATTGACAAACAAATCACAGAATCACTGTCAAAGAGATTCTGCAAAATGCTGTGGCCACTTCTTTTTCACTTACCACAAGTACTACACTGAAAATGGGAATTAAGAGCAAGTTTCTATCCAGAATAATGACAGATGTCTTCTAGCCCTCTTACCTACTTGGCTCCCAGGACATGGGCAGCCATGCATGCCCTCCCAAGAGGGAACTGGGCAGTCTTCTCTGGGAAATCTGACCAGCCAGAGGAAAGACAAATGATCGGCCAAACATCTCGAGTTCCCCAAGATAAGGGCCTGGCAGACAGGCCTCGAGCAAAGACCACCCTCATCCTGAGAGCTCGTTCCCACTCAGCTTCTTCGCCCACCAGTCTTCAAAACGAGCAGACAGCTAAGGAACTCCAGAAGAAGAGGGAATATAATTTTAAAAAGACCAAAGTAATCTAACAATATTTTGTGTTGGTTGTTACATGACAGTGTTTGTCAAAAATCAGAATTATATACTAAAAAGGGTGAGTTTTACTGTATGTAAATTATTCCTCCAACAAAGTATATAAAACTTAGAGAAAACATATATAAGGAGAAATCTTAAAAACAAAATTATCACTGACATCCTCAGACAGCTAAGATATGAACTTGAAAAAACTGAACACATAAGAAAAAAAAACCCCGAAACTTGCAGAACAAAAAAAAGTTCTTGTTTGAAATTAAACATATGAAAGCAAAGGATGCTCAATAGAAGAGTTAGAAAAAGACAAAGCTGAAAAGACAGAAGGACAAAACAGTCTACAAGCACCAAGGACACAAGGGTGCTGGAAAGAAAGATCAGAGAAAACAGAGGAAAGAAAATCAAAATAATATTAAAAAAAAAACCCAAAATTGAAGAGTGTGAGTTTGCAGAATAAAAGTGCCCAGCCAAGTGCCCAGCACAGTGGACAAAACAAAGCCACACCAAGACACAACATGGTGAAATTTCAGAATACTGGAGACAAAGAAAAGATAATATAAGGGTATAAGGGTTCAGAGAGAATAAAAAAATAGGTTTCATACAAAAGATCAAGAATCAGAATAGCTTCAAGATCCTCGACAGCAAACTGAAAACCAGAAAACAACAGAGAAATGCCTTCAAAATTCTAAGAAATTATTTAACATAGAATTCTCTATTGAATCAAGTAACTGACTTCAAGAGAGGCTGGAAAAAAGACATTTTAAGGCATCCAAAGTGTCAACAAATGTGCACCATCTGCACTTGAGCTACCTAAAGGATGTGCTTTACCAAAACATAAGAAAACAAAAGCATGTGGGGGAAGGGTGAGAAGAAACAGGACCAAGAATCAGAACGATCCAGAACAGGAGGAAGAGAAGGAAGTTCCCTGACTGAGAAGGGAGACCCCAAACAACAGCCGAGGGCAGCTCCTACAGCATCACCAAACGCCCCCAAGTTACCCAGACAGACTGTGCCAAGAAGCTGAAATTGAGGGAAGGGAATACCCACTGTGTAAGAAAGAAGTGAGATGGTCCCATCTGAGTGCAAGTTTGGAGTTGAATTAGTAAGGAGTACACAGATAACTAAGCAAATGAAAAAACAAAGGCAACGTTTACTTAACTTTTGGGAAAACAAAACAATGGGCAGGTACAGAGGAGTAATCGTAGCACACTACACAGTTCAGCTGTAGTTTGGATGGTCACAATTCTGTAAACCCTGAGTAAAGCCTCGCCAAAATGTAACATGAGTGGAAGGCTGGGAGAGAAGGGTGTATGTGAACCATGAGACCAAGGAGGTAAAAGATAGCCAAAAGCTACCTTGCATTTATCCATTCAGTGCAAAATTATTACCTAAAGTTGAAAAAACAAAATTAAATACCAAGAAAAGGATGTCATTCTGAAATACTGGAGCAAATACCCAAACAGCTAAGGGGTTTAAAAGTACGTCCATTTAAAGAGCAACAAACGGTGGTAGTCACAGGTAAGGAGAGTGTTATTTTTTGGTTTTGGTTTTGCTTTCAATAAAAAGACTTGAATTATTTGATTCTTCAATCCATGTGTATGTATAGTCATGTGTCACTTAATAATGGGGACACACTCTGAGAAATGTGTTGTTAGGTGATTTCATCACTGTAAAACATCATAGAGTGTACTTACACAAACCTAGATGGTATGCCTACTACTGTAATTGTGTGTGCTATATATTTTTTTTTAAGATTTTTATTGGGGAATTGGGGGGAGGGGAACAGTGCTGGGGAATTGAGGGAAGGGAAACAGACTAGTTGCTGTCCTTTTGTTCTTCAGTCTAGTTGTGGAGGACGTTGCTTCACTGGCCCAAGTTGGTACCATCATTGCACTCTTCCCGGGCGAGGCAGATCAGTCGCCAGCTTCTGGATGGCCGCTCACACTGGCTGCTGGTCACACACGGCAGCCCATGGCAACCCACTGCCACAGGGGCTGCAGCCTACGCCGTCACCGGTGACTCACGGCAACCCAGCTCCAGGTTGAGCTGTTGTTCAGCATCTTAGCTGTGGAGGGCAGTGTCACTGGCCCTCATATGTGGGATCCGAACCGGGGCTCTCTGGCATCCCAAGCCAGCTCTTAACCACCGCGCCACTCGGCCGGCCCTATGTGCTATACTTTTATACAACTAAATGCACCACAAACACGTAATGCATTGTGCTATGATGTTACGATGGCTACAATCTCACTAGGTGACAGGAATTTTTCAGCTCCATTATAATCGTATGTGACCACCATCATATATGTGGCCCATCATTATGCAACATATGACTATACAGCTTTAAAAACAGACACCAATATAAAATAATTTATTAAATAAGAAACAAAAATACTAGATGATCAAGTCACTTGGAAAAATTAGACACTTAGCTTTTCAAAAGACCAAGAAAACCCATACAACCACACAAAACCCAGATTTTAAAAGCATCGCCTCAGGACAGCAGGGCTTCAAAGGCAAAGAGACAATGTTAAAACCACTCATTTTCTAGCCTGAATCAGGAATTATGGTATTATTTTCAGTTCCCTGGGTGCCCATCCACCTTGCTGGGGGTCCCCAGGAAATTTCACATCAAGGAAGCTCTGGCAGCACACGCGATTCTCACTTCCTGTCTGGCTGGAATCCCTCCTCGGCGCCCTACTCTGACAGGTTCAGAAGAAACCTCTCAGGCCCTTTACCCGCTCTCCCTCTTCACCAGCTACCTGCAGGCTGCCAGCGCCCAGCGTCCAGGATCAGAAGTTTCCTTAGAGCTAGCTGTCCAAAACTAAGCCTACAAAGTCACAGCAGCACCAGCCACTGCAATTCTAACCTTGCCCTCAGTTCAGTACCGCTGTGATGACTCCATGAGGTTACACACACCCCCCTCTTCACAATGACCACATGTGGGTCAGAATGGCTCTGTTTGGACACCTCTCTTCCTTCCCTTCCCGAAGTCCACTCTTCCCTTATCTTTCCCTGTATTTAACTGGCCCCGCTGCTTTCCTCCCCCAGCCCCTGCTATTTTATGGTTAGTACTGGCATTACTAACACATCACTCAATGCCCTGCACCTCGATTTTTTCATCTATCCTTAAGTTCCTTAAGGATCAAGACCATGTGGTCATTCATCTCTACATATCCCATCGTGCCTAATGCAAGATTCACTGAAATATTCACCGAGCGAATGAATGAATGACCACACATGAACATAAACCCACACTTCTGAGGAGCAATCCTCAGGAAACACACCCTTCTCCGGCTCCTGGCTCTCTCGCCTAGAACCACCTGGTGTACAACCCAGAGCCACACACCTCCATGTCCTCAGGGACCCAGAAGACTCAGCAGCAACTGCCAAGACACAGAAAGGAAAGCAGGACATACCTGGAAGGAAGTGGGAATACAGACGAGTTTCAGGTTCTCTTCTTTCACCCTTTCAGCTGTGGAGACACAAGCCGTGTTGGTGGATTTTCACTCTCCTCCATTTTCTTGTTGTGTACACATTTGCTCAAATCCAACAGAAAAGGAGAGGTCTACCCGCCACTGACAGCTGCCTTTCATTTTGTGTCCCCACCCTTGGTGGAAAAGCTGGTGAACATATGTCACACATCACAAGACAGGGACACCAGAAAGCCTAAGGAAGTAGGTACCAACTACAGAAAGAATGTCAGTGTTTGCTATTATGATGTGCCTGCCATATTCAAAGAGCTTTGTACATATGAACTCCTTTAATCCTAACAACGCAAAGGTAAGTTACAATTACTATCCCCGTTTTATAGATGAGGAAACTGAGGCACAGAGAGGGCAGGTAACTGGGTAGTTATACATCTAACAAGTGGCAGACCTGGAATATGACCCCAGGCAGTCGAGCTTCACAGTCTTGACTACTTACCTATGTTGCCATTTACAGGGAAAAATATTGTAGAACTCAACTTTTACAGTTAGTAAAAAAATATAATCATTTGTAGACCACAAAGGGTGGTTAAAGAGGGTTTATTTATTCATTTTGGATTTACACCTTTCGGGAAAACTTGATTTAAAAAAAAGTCTTAAGCAAAACACTGTCTCATTAAAATTTAAGTCTTTTTATATCACCGGGTATTCACCTTGTGAGGTTTACATGCCACTACTATGAAATCCACAGTAATTCCTGTGCCTTAAAATCCTGCACACACTCAGGCTGAGGCAGAAAGGTGTGCAACATTAAGGCCCCTGTTGGGCCAATGAGGCTTCCAGAAGCCATCACACCAGCAGCACAACCACTCCTTACAGACAAAGCATTCCTGGACCTTGTCTTGCAAGCAACACCCCTTGGCAACTAGACGAGGTCAGCATTAGGCAAGCCTCTCCCCTGGGCTTTGTCCTTCCAAACAAGAGCAGGGCAGTGAAACCTGTTGAGCAGCCACAGAGGCTGATAATTCCTGAGCCTTTTCTAAGCACAGAGACACCCTATGGGAACCAGCCCCAACACATTCACTCCAGGGTCAAGCCGATACTGACTTTGATTTATTTGCCTCAGATTGCTGAGGCACCTACAGGCTTCAGAGAGCTTGCCTCAGGGTCCCTGCGAACGAACATACATACACAGGCACACAGACAGACATGCACATACACGTACGTGTACACACACACACACACACACACACACACACACACACACACACGACCACTGATGATTAGCTCCCCAAGTAGCCCCTCTGCAGCTCCGCACTGCTGGATCCAAGGAGGGTAGGTGCCAAACCCGTGCCCCACTTCCTCCAACTTCGACCTCTCCACGCCCATTATCCCACACAAAACATGCAGCAGACAGCCCAAGAACATACCTATTTTCTGCACAGCGTGGACAATTGTAGAACCACTTCCAATTCCCAGCACTTGATTATTCTGACAAAAAGAAAGGGGGGTGGGGGGGAAGAACTTATCAATACCGTAATTTATTCCCTCTTCAGCCCACTTCCTAGAGCTATAAAATTATTATCAACATTAATTTATCAACTTGGGTGCAAGGCGGATACTGTGCGCATTTTACAGAAACATAACCACTGAACCTCAGAGCTGTACTTTAGTACCCAGCGGCAATTTATCAGTACCCCCTCCTCCTTTCATCTCTGACACTGACATCACCATTTCCCTCTGTTAAAAGATAAAGTAAGGCGTATCAAAAACGTTGAATTTGAGCAAAAATTGATTCAAATTGCACAGCATCCAATCTAGCAGATAGAAAGGAGTTCTAAGGAACTGTACAAAATGAAAGACTTTTATAGCCGGAAGGGAACAGAAACAAGGAAGTCAACTAGACAAAAAGAAGCAGGTTGGTTATTACCAGGTTACTTTCCTTTACGACAGCGGTTCTCAACCTGTGGGTCGCGACCCCTTTGGGGGTCGAACGACCCTTTCACAGGGGTCACCTAAGACCATTGGAAAACAAAAAGATATTTACATTACGATTCATAACAGTAGCAAAATTACAGTTATAGAGTAGCAACGAAAATAATTTTATGGTTGGGGGTCACCACAACATGAGGAACTGTATTAAGGGGTCGCGGCATTAGGAAGGTTGGGAACGGCTGCTTTACGGGATGGCAAGTCTACCAGGCAGATTACCTGACTAGTACTGATCAGGGGATTGCTGATTAGCTGGTTTAAGATTCCATTTCTGGGAGATCCAAAACTGTAATTAAGTGAAGTCTTGGTTTGGTGACATGGGGCTTACTTAGCATAAGCGACTCTATGTTGGGCCTGTTGTCTAATATTTAACACTCTCTACATCCTATCAGACAAAAGGCTTGGCTTGCTTACAACGAACAGCTACTTAAATCAGCCTCCCCAAAATGGCCTGCAGATGAGCACTGAAAGGTCCCTGACCAACCCCTGGGTGCGGCCATCAGAGAGGAAAGGCCCTAGGGAAAAAAGAGCCTAGGTGCACCCCAGGAACAGAAAGCAGAGGTTTCTGGCTTCAGGGCTTTTTCACAAATGCTTAACATCTAGGTGGCAGGGGACTGACCATGGCATCTTCATGTTGGTGGCACCACAGGGAACATGTGACGGACATATCAAGCCCACTATATAGAGCTCCCCCGCAAGGTCAACAGAAGAGGGGGAGGTGTGAAGTAACCTCAAAATAGCACATCGCATCAGCACCTGTCCAGTTGTGCCAAGGAACCTATTTTGCACAAGCCTGCCTCAGAGAACATGGGAAGAGGGCAAAGGTTTAGTTAGGACGTGAGAACAAGTCTTCCCCTGCAATAGGACATATACAGATCTACAACACTTCTGAGTACAGAGGACAAGAAACAGGCATCGCACTACTGAGCCTGCCATTTAAGAAAGGGGGAAAGGACCTATGAGGAAACCAGGAGCGGAGTAGGGGCCCAGCCGAGGACAGTTAGACCACAAACAGCACAACAAGGTCAGGGTACAAACACTCAGGAAATAACGTGGAGCTCTGTTCCTAAGCAACTTCCAGGGAGGCTAACGCAAAGCAGCAGCTACCATTTATTCAGCACCTTCCAAGAAGATTTATAAATGTTCATAGAAGTCAAATTTCACAGTAACCCCTTGTGACTTCAAGACCCATCATCCCCACTTTAGAGGTGAACTCAGCACTGTAAGGAAAAAGTTGAGATTAGAAATGAGCAAGACAGATTACTGGATGACCATTCAATGGGATGCTAGAGCCCACAGGTACTGCAGTATTGGATCCTACGGGTGTGTGCCTTTACCTTGGGCCACTTTACAACTCTGTAGAGACAGACTCTAACCTGCAGAAAACCATTAACCACACAAATAATTCTTGTCCATAGAAATATAAATTAATGGTGTTTTGTGAACTGATTATTACCCTATAGATTTTATACATCTATTTTAACATTTTTTGACTGCATATAAACTTATGGTTGATTTTTCCTGTGAACAGGTTATAACATCTGTCCTAGTTTCCTTATTAATTTAATGAGTTAAAGTCTTTGATATGTGTTTATATATGTATAAGAGTCATGATTTTACCTTTTAAAAATCATCTTTAACAATATCAATTACCCCTCTACACAACCTCACTTTGAATGAGCAACTTTAGGAAGCTCAATTTGCTGAAACATCATTTCATTTCAAATGTCTCAAGAGTTCTGGCAACTGATTAACAATGAACTCATTTGGCACAGGAAGCCCATAGTGAAACTTTCTTTGTAGGAGGAAACATTTTCTGTAGGAGGAAAAATAAGTTCTGGAGGCCCTCTCAGGCCCCTGACTGGGGGCTGCAGACAACACCCCTCATTCCCCACAGGATGGCCGAATACCAAAGGCCAGCCCCTGCGCACCCGTCCTCAAAATGAGACCTCATCTCAAACTAGGAAAGACTGGAAAGAATGACCAAAGTAGAGGAAGTTACATTAAAAAAAAAAAGTCAAATGCTAATGTCCCTGCTTCCAGTCCGGCCTTTCCTACACACAGAGGGCTTCGCCTCAATCCCTGTGTGCCTGACCTGATGGAAACCACTTGCCAGCTCATCATTCCCAAGTCACCATATACACCAAGGGGCCTTAAAACACAGCTTGTGCTCGGTCAGGATTCCACCTGTGACGATGCCCTCAAGAAGGCAATGCATCCAATAGTCCTTTGGCTCCCTGGGCAAACCTCAATAGCAAGGTCTTCAAGACAAGTAAATGGTACATCACAACAAAAAAACATGCAAACTGGCTCAATATCAGAAAATGCAAACCTTCAAGTAATGAGACAATAAATATCTTGATTTATCATATCAATGCCTAGGTAGGCTAGACCTCACCTGACACTGAGAGCTCTAGCTATACAGAAACTTGACAGTGAGATTCCTCATTGCTATGTTCAGCCATACACTCATGTCACCCAGCAGGCAGGTGGCACACAGATGAACTAGGGTGAGTCAGACAAGCTTTGAGCAAAGCTCCTCCCTTGGCTTTTGTTGGAGCCCAGGAATTGCAGGGAACTGCGAGGCCCAAAGCTCTTCAACCATGTCATGTGGTCCTGGAATTAAATGACTGGCCTGGGAAACAGCGTCCTAGCCAAAGCCAAACAGAGGGGGCCCAAGGCTGGCTATGAGGTGGCCAACAGCAAAAGGCTCTGCCAGGCTGGCTGTGCTGGCAGAGGAGGCCCCTCCTAATGGGCAATACTAAACCACATGTCACATGTGTCACATGTGCAACAGCAGAACTTCACTCACCTCATCCAGTGGGGTAACTGGAAATACTTCAAGTGGTTGCCACACTGGAATACCAATGGGCTAAGGAACTGGACCTACGACCCTAGGGATTCAATCCACCAATAATCCCAGAATCTCCGTATTTGCATCCACATTCCACACAATTCATTGAACGTTTACTAGGTGGGCCCTACTCTGATCAACACTGAATGAATGTAAGGTTAAACTATTCTCCAGGAGCTTACCCTTTAGAAGGCTGCGAGAGACAAACACAGAGATGATTAGAATGTAAGACACCTGCATTAGGGGCCTAAGAGGCATAAAATGCTGCAGAATCTAAGAGAATTTGTCCTCCCCTTATGAGGCTAAGGAAAAAACAGCCTTTAAACCAAGCCCTGAAGGACATATATAATTTTAACAGGTAAAGGCAGAGAAGAAAGCATTCTAAGTCGAGGGTAGTGATGTTAAAACACACACTATATGCCAGTAGTCTGACTTTTCCAAAGTTCTGGTACAAGGAGGAGAAGGGAGCATAGAAGGAAACAAGATTGTGGGCTTAAGGACAAGAACTGGAGCCTCTTATCTGTGTATCCTCTCCACCTGGCTTAGTACCTAGCTTGCAAGAGATGCTCCAGGTGTATTACATGGAGATTAGGATGAGGCCACCTAAGGGCCACTGTGACAAGAACCCATGCGAGCTTCAGAAGATGATAATGCACCACCTGGGAGGTCGACAGAGGGGACAAGATATAGGCAGCTGCTCTCCTCTGGCCCTGGGGAGAGCCTAAGCTGGGAAAGTTAGTAGGTCAAGGGGAAGGGTCAGCTCTAAGAACATTGCAAAGATGGAACCAACAGGACTCAGCATATAATCTACCTCGATAAATTTACAGAAGTGAGTAAACAGTTTCAACTCACAAAGTGCTAGGCTGGAGGAAAACATGGCCTTAGATGGGGCAAAGAATAACCCTTTGAAGAGGGCAGCTAAACCTTGACAATACATGAATATGCTCAATAAATGTGTGGATCTGAATAGTTATCCTGCTTGCAAAGTATCAGACCCTCCCCCCCCCCCCCCTTTAGCCACATTTCTGGCAACCACACCAACTGCCTGACACTGCTAGGCACTCAATAAATACCTGACAAACATAATATGAATAAATCAGTGTTAACGAGCAGAAAATACAAACTTCAAGTAGTGTTGCCATCTCAAGGAAAGAAGTTTGGTAGGGAAAGTGGGTGCAACTGAGACTGGGGTAAGGTGCCCCAAAAGGCCAATAGAGATCTCCTCAGAATCACCTGGTAACTTCATGGAATAGTGTGGCTGCAATCCAGTGTTTTGGGACTCTAGCCTGAGGCAGGGGCTTGCAGATTGTTATTTAACCAAATACATAATTATAAAACAAAAGTTAGGGAGACATGTGCCACCAAATGTTAATGTAGCTAGGAAAACTAAGATATGGGGCTTTTCTAATTGTATAGATTTCATTTACCTGTCCATTAGCTATTCACTTTATCCAGGCATTTTGAAATTTCAGCTTACTGTCCCAATTTTGCAGCTGAGGCACTGAATCCCAAAAGTAGAGCCAGATTACACATTTTACATTATCCCTGTGAATTCCCATAGAAAATCCTATTGCTAACCAGACTTGGAACAGGTTACACCAAACAGGGCAGCTGTGGAACTGGTGGAAGGGCACTGTGACAGGAGTCACTCACTTCGGGTTCAGGAGGATCCTTGGTGGGTCCTTCTTACAGAGCATGCTGAAATGGTTTGCCACATGGGCCCCTCACACTTAACCAGGCTGCTTGGGAATTAATCATCTATCTATGCAAAATAACTGTGCAAGCTAATGCATTATCAACTGTAAAAAACAACAAAAAAACCCAAAAAACTATCATTAGAAAAATAGGGACTCTAATATCATTTTCTAAGAAGTAGAAAAGACATACATTAAGCCAAAGAAACTCCACCTAAGGACAGAGATACTCTACTTGGCTCCCACACTACTCTAATTATGATAATTAACTTGATTGGCAACAACAAATCCACTAAGGTCATAAGGCTCCACTAACAAACCGCATCACACCCACCGCTTAACAAGTGGGGCCACGACCTCACCGAGTAACAACTGAAAAACTCCGCACCTAAACCCTAAAGAACAGCATCCTCCAGACTTCAGGTATCCACCCGGCCCCGTCGAAGGGAGGTTTAAAGCTGGAGTCGTCCCCCTTAGACTCTGCCTTCCCTTCCCTCCGGCGAGCCACACGCAGGTTTTAGCGCACCAAGCTAAAACGTTCTTGGAGTGAAATTTCAAAGCAATTTTCAGCCAGCTCTCCACCAGCTTCCCAGGAAAGTTAAGAGAAGACCTCTCGGTAGCCCCAGAACGCGTCCGTTTCCATTTGTTGATAAGGAAACCACACGGCAAGTCCCTTCCATCCCCACTCAACATCAGACAACACACCAGGTTCCACTTTGCAAACTATTATCCGGCCAGACAAGGAGTCTTTAGAAAGCTCAACTTAGGGGGACTCGCCCCCAATCGATCCCGCATCTAAATGGCCTTTTAGGAGCAGGGGACAAGGGGGTCTAACCCGGATACAGTGCGCACCCTCTCCCCTCTCACGTAGCCCACGCCCTTTCAGGAACTAGGCGAACACCGGCAGTGCCCAGAGCGCGCAAGACGAACCCATCACGCCGAGTACAGGCGCCCCACGCCCCCGAGCTGCTCACCCTCACGTGGTTCATCACTGCTAAGTGGCCCGCCAGCTTCTTGGCCTCCTCGGTCTTAGACATCGTGGAGGGGTCCCGGAACACGCTGTTGGCTTCCCCGCTGCTGGTGTTTGTTCGGCCAGCGCCGCCGCTAGTCCCAGACTGGGCGCACCCGGGCGGCTGCACGTGGGAACCTGGGACGCCCCAACTGTTCCCGCCTCTGCCAGAGGCCGCGCCCCCGGCCCGCCCGGGCAGTGGGGCCAGGACCCGCCCGTAGAGGGTGCTGAAGGGCCCAGCACGCTGCATCCCGACGCCTGATGCTAGCCTCTGCCACAGTCCCGCCCCGGTTTTTCCGGAAGTCTTATCGTTCATGCACACTGTCCGCGCCGGCGCGGGTCTTTCTGGGAAATGTAGTTCTATGGCTTCTGTAGCCCGAAGCTGTGCCTCAGCCTGGACTACCAGCCCCACAATGCTGTACGACCGGTACGCAAAACGCCGGCGATGGGTTTTGGCGCATAGGTCAGTATGGCAGGAGTAAACGAGTTTGGGTGAATCTCAGGGCTTTTTCTGTCTACCCATGCTTCGGAGGAGCGGCTGTTAGACCTGACCCTGTTGTTTTTCCCAGTAATAAAAATGTGGCAGTGGACAAAACCTCAGGGCAGTCGCTCTTTTGGAGACGTCCTTTTGAGAGCGACTTCTCTACTCCCAAGGAAAAGCACGTGGGACCCCTGCGCCCTCTGAAGTCTATCCTAGACCTGCGATGGTCCAGGACTACACATTTGGAACCCCCAGCCCTAGACATTGTCTTGCACTTTGCGGTATTGGATGGTGTACGTCGTCCAGATCAAGCCTGGTCCCGCAGAGACCCCCGTAATCCTTGTTGACTAGCACTTGGAACTTAAAAGCTTTGTCTTTTCTTCTCTACCTGTAAGGTGTATTGCTGTAGAGAATAGTAAAGATCAGACAATGTTTGTCTTTTTTACAAGAGAGGAGGCTAATGCTGACCCCAGCTATACTTAGTACCTGGAGGTCTTTGAAAAGCAGGTAGCCTTTGTACTTCCCGCGCATGTTGGTGGAATTCCCTCTGCCCATGAACTCATCTTCAGATTCTAGGCCTTCTCCCTCTTCTGTGTGCAAAACACCAGTATGGGCCGCTGTTAAATCAGCTTCATCACAGATTCTCTGCTGTGCCCACTGAGGCTGTCAGTCCTGGGACCTCCACCTTAGTCTGAGGAGGAAAAGCTATTTGAGGTGATGTTTGAATCTTAAGTTTTAGGCAGAATTTGGAATCTGTCCAAGATGCAGGACAAAATACATAGGGTGCCAAAAGAAGATGAATAAAGAAGTCACATTTGGGGGCCGGCCGAGTGGCACGATGGTTAAGAACTGGCTTGGGACGCCAGAGGGCCCCGGTTCGGATCCCACATATGAGGGCCAGTGACACTGCCCTCCACAGCTAAGATGCTGAACAACAGCTCAACCTGGAGCTGGGCTGCCATGAGTCGCCGGCAATGGCATAGGCTGCAGCCCCTGTGGCAGTGGGTTGCCATGGGCTACCATATGTAGCCAGCAGCCAGCGTGAGCGGCCGTCCAGAAGCCGGCGACTGATGTGCCTCACTCGGGAAGAGCACAATGATGGTGCCAACTTGGGCCAGTGAAGCAACGTCCTCCACAACTAGACTGAAGAACAAAATGACAGCAGCTTGTCTGTTCCCCTTCCCCCAATTCCCCAGCACTATTCCCATCCCCCCAATTCCCCAATTAAAAAAAAAATCTTTAAAAAAAAGAAGTCACATTTGACTTCTACAATTATAAGAGATGCTCAAAGTGGTTATCATCAGCATCCAGATACTTCTGATTGAAACAGCTTGAGCAACGTTGACCGAAGTGTCCACTTGTATACATTTTTTTGGCACCCCCAGTATTTGGGACACATACACACACACACACACACACACACACACACACACACACACACACACACACACACACACACACACAGTTGATCTCTGGAGGGTTGAAGGCCACCTGAGTCAAATTTGTGACCTTTTCTGCCTCCTGTTAGGGTCAGTCTTTCCCCCATTGAGGCTCATCAATGCTCACTACCCAAAGGTTGGATCAACTGGTAGTAGCCAATCTCTGCTTTACCGTTCCAGCCTCAGGGTATTTGCATGGGGCTTCCCACCACATTAAATGCTCTGCCTGACCATCTGCCTGACCGCACTGCCAACTCCATCTAACCCTTCTCTCAGCTGAAATGCCACCTCCTCAGAGTCTTCCTGATCCTTACCTAAATTGAGTTCCCACTCACCCATCCTCTATCACTTTACCCATTTGTTTATTCCTATCATAGAAATTTAATCATTTATTTGTTTACTTAGTTTTGTACTTGTTTACTTCATTTTGTACTAGTTTATCATCTATCCTCCAGAAAATAATATTTCTGAGAAGAGGGACTTTGCTTTTTCCCTACAGCATCTTCCATGTGCCTGTCATGTAGATGGTCCACCACAATACCTAAAGCTTATTGGATAGCAGATTTTGTGCCTCAACCCCACACTCCATCTTCAGCGATACAATTTAAGTCTCTGCTTTTCTTATGTCTCTGCATGTCTTATCTCCATGTCTTTGCACAAACTGTACCCTTCTAACTCTCAGATGTTCTTAAGGACTCCACCCTGTTACCTGTTACTCTGAATCCTACCCCTAGCTGGGTTTGTAAAGGTGACCCTATCCTATTTTTAGACTTAAACCTCTGATGTAATTCAATTTGACAGTGGTTTGCCTTGGGACTTTTTGAAAGTCTTTTCCTTTCTTTGCTTCCTTTCCCTCCCATCAAATCTTGATGATTCTGTTTACTGTATATTTACTATGCACACCCAACCAGTTTCAATGGTTCTGTTTACTTTGGGCCTGCCGAGATGTTTTTGCATTTGTATGGGATCTGCTCCTGACCCTGAGGCACATCAGCCTCTGGAAAGCGGTTTTTCCTGGAGTAGCTAGGCCAACTTCTCCTTTTTCTGTGTTCTGTCTCTCCCTGCATGCCTATAAAACCCTAGGGCATTTGGTTAGCTCAGGTGGTTAGAGGGCAGGCTCCTAACACCAAGGTTGCTGGTTCAATTCTCACATGGGCCAAGGAGCTGCACCCTCCAAAACTAGATTGAAGACAACTATTTGACTTGGAGCTGATGGGTCCTGGAAAAACACACTGTTCCCTAATAAAAAATTAAAAGGAAAAAAACCTTTTGGCAGTATTAAAAGCGGGAAGGCAGTCTTTGTGACAAGGAGTCCACTGTCTTCCCTTAACGCTGGCATTTTGGAATAAACCTGCTTTTCTTTCAACCAACCTTGCCTCTCAAGTTTTGGCTTGTGCGGCGAGCGGCTGGACCTTCTGCACAGTAACAGATTAACTGCTCTCCTGTGCTTCCAATCACCTGTACCCTGTCTGTCATAATTCATCCTGCTCTATTCACTTGACCGTCTCATTCAAAAGACAGCAAGTCCCTTGATGGCAGATACAGTCTTTTCCATATAGGATACACAGCACCTAACTCAATATTTTGGGAGTGAGCAATGTTCTACAAAATTCTACCTGTCTGTGCCTCTGTTTTTTTCTCTCTCCATCTTGCGATCATTTCTTATTCCAGCCCCACTTAATCGTTCTCCTCAGGTGTGCCAATGAATGATGCTGAGTGACTCTCATGGACATTCTGAAATCCCACTGGCAACTCTTGAGGCTGAAGACTATGCTGATTCTTGAATGGTGTGAGCAGCATGTCCCTATTACACTTTTTACTTGTATATTGATTGATAATAGTGCCAGGCACTATGCTAAATGCTTTGCAGGTGTTATCACATTTAATCCTAACAACTCCAAGAAGCCAGTACTAATCATCTCCATTGTACAAATGAGGCATGAAAGAAGTCCAAACTTGCGCAAGCTCACACTGCTCATAAGTGAAGCTGGGATGCAAACTTTCAGTGGCTCTAGGACCAAACTTTGATTTGATAGAATCACTTATATGGAGATTTATTAATCTCCCCAACACCACCATCAACAAAGCTCTAAACTTTGTATAAACTACACAAGTAATCTCTTTTCTCTTTAAAGTCACAAGTAATAGCAATGAATCTTGAGACAAAATGGTTAGGGAAAAAAGAATGAAAAAAA